TTTGAAGTACATTTGCTATGTAACTGCTAACGGGGCAGACTTGGGGGGTGGGAGGAAACCTGGGGACATTGGTGGAGGGAAGGTCACACTGGTGGTGGGATTGGTGTTGGAACATTGTATGCTTGCAACAACTATATTACAAAAAACTTTGTAAGTTACAGTGCTGTAATAATAGTAATAATAATAATAATAATAATAATAAAGCCCCAGAAGGATGTGTGTACACTGAGATGTTAATAATAAAACACTTCTGGACAGGATTGTGAAATGAGGCTTTTCATTCTGACTCTATCTACTTATGTATTTCATTTTAAATGTAACTGTGCTTACATATTAACTTGGTAAAGACATAAATCACACTGGCTGCCTTTTAATAAAAAGTGAGGACAGCAGGTACAGCAGGTGGGGCTGCTCGGAAGCATGTGCAGAGACCTTCAGTGTCACCATTTTGAGAGGCCAGAGGACGCAGCTCTGTGGAAGCGTCATTTCCTTGTCACTGTTGCTGCACAGCCAGACTGTTTCATCTGCCTGCACCTAGGAGGTTGCTAAGCAGTGATTGGTGTTGAATGAATGAATGACTGGTGAGATGTGTACCTGGAGAGGCTGAGAGTGGGTCCTTCATGTCTTTTGATATCTGGAAGTGGAAAATAGTCTTACCTTTGGGTTCACCAGAGGGCAGAGTGAATACTACCCACTTCCCTTATCTCTTCTGGGGCTGTTCTTTCCTGAGAGATGGATTTTGCTAGCTTCAGAATTTCCTTCAGCATTCTTGGCAGAGTCCTCTTTGACTGCTCTGTACCTGGTCTCTGGCATCTCATCCATCCTCGTAATTGCCCCCTGCAGTCTGCTGTGTGTGCATTCATGTGAAGGTGTGTATATGTTCTCTTCACAGTTCCTAAACCCCAGAGTTTCCAGCATAAATAAATATTGGTAGAGTGAGTGAGTAATTTGAGGTCTATGTCCACCAAGTTGGGGTTAGTTCCCTAAAGGGCAGAGGTGGTATTCCTACAAGGATAGTCACTAGCTTCAGGAATGGGAAATGCCAGAAGAATTCCATTCAGTTCATGTCTATCCCTCAGTATTATGGGATTCTTTGCTGTCAGAAGTAGAATATAATGTGTTATCTCAAAGTCACACTTTCTGCTCTGTCAATGTGACCACTTCTGCCTCCAGACTGACTACTTTCTAGTGCTGCCTCGGGAATTAAGATGATACAGCAGAGACTGTGGGAATAGATATTGAGAGTCTCAGAGGGCCCTACAAGAGAGGAACCCAAATTGCCTTTATTCTGTTGATTTTTTCTGGAACAATAGAGTAATGTAGTAGTCCTCACTCTGGACTTGTGCTGTGACATTTATGCTTTGCCATTCTCTTCCATCTTAAATGGCTGCTCTTTCCTTCTAGATTTATACTTATTTCTTATATAATAGGTACTTTATATTGTACCTATACAATATATGTGCAATACATAATACTTACTAGACTTTGTTTAAATGTGCATTTAAAAAATTTTTTTTAATAGTTAGACATCATGAAGTACAGTTGCAAACTTACACATTTTTGTGCTTGGGTTTCAATTATACAATGATCAAATACCCATCCCTCCACCAGTTAAATGTGCATTTTTTAAAGCTTCCGGCATCAATCTTTTTTTTTTTAATTCCTCTGGGTGGGATCTATCTAAAGGAAACTGGGTGGCAATACTGTTTTACTGACCACTTGATTCTGTACAAACTTTCTGCATAAATCCGTTTGCCTGCCACTAAATTTCTGGAGTATGTGGTATGCCCTTTTGAAGATATGGAAACAGACCTTTAAGAGAAGTGGGCACCTGTCGCCCTGGAGACCCTCTGGTCACACTGCCTGGTGGGTCTTTTGGGGTGGTGGCAGTTATGGCACAGTGAGGTTCCAGGCACCTTGTGGAATGCTCCTGAAATACTTGCACCTGGCCTTTCACTGGAGAATGGTTTGAACCATATGAACTCACGGTTCCAGGGCCTGTGAGGGCCATAGCTTGATGGCACCAGTCTGATCAAGTCATTTGGCAGAAATCTTACCCCAGCGGAGGGTTTCTCAAGCAGTGCAGGGGTTCCAGGGTAACCCCAGAAGTGGCTTGGAGAATGGGTGTGCCAGGATTTGAACCTGGCTCTCCAAATTCTAAGCATGGTGCCAATCCTCTGAGCCTCTCCTTAGCCCCAGGTAGGATGTTTAAAAAGCAAACATCTTCTTCCTCTCTAGCACATATTCAAAATTCATATCTCAGAATGCACATTTGCAGAATTTCTGCTCTCATTTTCATGTGTGCAGTCAGACCTCTCCATTAGCTCTTCAAAGAGGTTGGGAGTGGTCTATTATTATTTTGACCTAATATTTTAGTACCTGGAGAGTAGTAATCTTCATGGCTTGTAAGAATGAATCTATCTATTAAAAACGGTGTGCTATTTTGTCAGGCCATGCGCAGCGTGCTTTGGAAGGTAGCCAGAGATTCTTATCCCCTTTCCATCAACTGGATAGAAAATTGGCTCACATTAGTTTAGGGTTTTGTCAACTTCTTAAATCCGTGTCAAAAGCACATTGGCTTTCGGGGGTTGGGAAGAGGCTCAAGGAGTGGGCACACACCTAGCGTGTGAGGCCCTGGAGTCAGCCCCACCACAAGCATGGGAAGGCCAGCACCGAGGGAGGGGGCCAGGGACCAGGGATGTGTAAACCAGCACTGCCAGCCGTGGCCCTGGCACACTCATGCACAGTCCAGAGTTGCCACTACTTGGAGATCCATGTTGCCAATATGAACATCGATCTCCAAGGTGCCTTGAGGCCTCGGACAAAAGGTTCAGCATATACCCCCGGAGGCTAGAGCTGCTGCTTACCTCCTGGTTTCTGAGTGAGGCTCAGGGCTCTGGCCACCGCAAGCATCACCCCTCACCACCTAAAGGACAGAAGGAAGTCCCAGAGGAAAGACTAGGTAGGATTGTCCTTAGGTCCGAACCCTCACCATGAATAGTACTTTACTCTTTTCATTTTTTGTGGGGCAGAGGGTGTTGCATGTGATGCTCAGGGATTATTCCTGGCTATGTACTCAGATCATTCCTGGCAGGGCTCAAGGGGCCATATGGGTGTCCAGGATAGACCCCTGGTAGGACGGGTGCAAGGCAAGAACACCCCTGTTGTACTCCGCCCCCTCCAGTAGCACTTTTAAGTGATTCTCCCAGGAGCTGAGTTAACTGGTCACCTTTCCCCAACACTGCCTTCAGCAAATTATAAGCCTCACTCATGTTACACAGACCTTATGATAGTGTTTGTGAAGACTGTCTGTCACAGGTGAGCCTAGTTTAGGTAGAGACAAACTCTTTCTTCCCTCTTGCGCCCACATCTCTGATTACAGAGGTCTCTCTGGTGTTAAGAGAGAATCCCTGTGGTGGGCGGACACTCTGGAAACTTACCCGCTGGACGTGCTGAAAAATGAAATATTAACATATTATTTCAAGGTGGTTACAGATGAAATTGAAAACTGTTGTTCTATAACAAACAGATATTCAGAGAGATTTAAAAGTTAATGAGTTAATATATTTTAAGTGACACTTGAGCTATTACAAAATTATTTTAGTAAAAAGAATGTAATTAAAGCTATTTATTATTACAAAATATTTTTTACAATGCTATTCTTGGCAACAGAAAATGTTCATCCTCATTCAAGTCTGTTAAGTACAATTATTTGAAAAGTATGTCAAGCATAATGTCAATATATTCCATTTTTCCTACAGAATACTAAATATTTCACCAAAACCTTGGTTTCTATTTAAAAAATATCTATTAATTCTATCTTCACTTAAAAAACAGTGAATGCACAAGAGGGAAGCAAGCAAACTTTTGTGGCAGATGAAATTCATTTTCAGTCATCAGACTTGAGTACCATGTATCCTTTAATAAAAAAAAATAAAAATAGTAACTCTCCTGCACCCACCCCCATTTTTCTCTGGTGCCATTAAATTATACTGTGGCAATAAGGTATTTCCAAGCAATTTCTTTACTGAGATTACATCCAGTTTACCAAACTAATGGAAAAGATAAAAGTCATAGGCAGAGGGGCTGAAGCAGCCGGTAACTGGGAGGAGTTGGTAGTGCAGCCAGCTTGTACTTCTTTTTCCTTTTAAAAAACATTTTGGGCCACATCCAGTGAGACTCAGTAGTTACTCCTGACTCTGTGCTCAGAAATTACTCCTAGTAGTGTTTGGGGGACCATAGAGGATACTGGGGATTGAACCTGGATCAGCCACTTTTGAGGCAAGTGCCCTACCTGCTGTATTATCTCCAGCTTCCAGTATTTATTGAGCAAAATTATACGTAAATTTGAGGTGAGGCCACTAAGTTCTACGTAACTGCTGAGAATCGCTTGCTAAGAATTACTTTGAGTTTGTTTCACTTGATAGATGCTGGAATGTTCTCATGGACTGCATACCACAATTAATGCAAGGGCCAGTGACCCCACAAATAATTCATTATGGAAAGGCTATATTTAAAAATCAATGATACCATCTAATTATACATCATTTCTGAACCTCTGAAATAGGAGGTACATAAAGTTGGTTACTACAAACAATCTAAAATAGGAGGTACAAAAAACAGTTTCCATCTGTAGATCAAAGAACATATGTTAAAGTTTTCACTTAAACCACATCTCAAGGTTTGAAGCATTAGTTACCCTAACCCACTGTCAGAAACCAACACTTCCCAAGGTGGGGGGAAACAAAACAAAACAAAACAAGGCTTTCTGTTTAATTCTGACTCGGGAAAATTTTGGCAAATGACAGGCCAAGAATCAGTCAATTTCCTCTTTAGGATCTGGCTTTACTCTTCTTTCTTCTATCTAAGAGAGAGAGAGAGAGAGAGAGAGAGAGAGAGAGAGAGAGAGAGAGAGAGAGAGAACCTTTGTCTAAGATGTCTTACACCAGAAACCTGGGAAGTTCAGGGTTTCCTTTGAACTTTTTAATTCCTTTAATGAAAAAGAGTCAACGTTTGGTTTTGAAGCTTTAGGTGAAAAGCGTTTCATTGGCAGCATTTGAAGTTTCATGAAGAGCTAAAGACTTTTAAATGGTTGTGTTTAAGATATTCTTGACCTTTACAGCTAAGCACAAATTGTCTATTCCTTTCATGCTATCATTTACCTAATAGCTGCGTATGGCATTAAACTGGTTTTTTTGACTTTCCAGAACAATACCTAATGAGCAAATAGCACAATTCAGTGACATTGAGCATGATGCAGATCCCAGACACGGCAATCATGAAAAAGGTAAAGACGGTCTTTTCGGTGGGCCTGGACACAAAGCAGTCCACGGTATTGGGACAAGGCCAGTTGGTACATTTCACTAAACGCTTCATGTAGAAGCCATCGTACATGATATAGAAGACATACATGAAGACTGCTTCGAAGATGATCCGGAAGAAGATGCTGCTGGTGTAGGTCCACCACAGGGAGCCCTGGATGCGGACCTTCTGGTTTTTGATCTCTTCGAGGTCTTTGAATTCACTCTTTATCTCTCCCTTGATGAACTTCCTCTTTTTCTCATGTCTCCGGTAGGCCACATGCATGGCCACCAAGAGGGCTGGTGTGGACACGAAGATGAGCTGCAGCGCCCAGAGCCGGATGTGGGAGATGGGGAAGTAGTGGTCATAGCACACATTCTTGCAGCCGGGCTGCAGAGTGTTGCAGGTGAAATCTGCCTGCTCGTCTCCCCAGACCTCCTTGGCAGCCACCACCAGGATCATGATGCGGAAAATGAAGAGGACAGTGAGCCAGATCTTCCCAATACTAGTGGAGTACTTGTTGACACCACCCAGGATGGTGTGGAGTGTGCTCCAATCCATCTTCTCTTCCGGGAGGCTGGCACTGGGGAAGACAGAAGCACAAGAGTCAGAAAGGAATCTGGGAGAGTGCACTGGGTCTCTCTCTCTCTCTCTCTCTCTCTCTCTCTCTCTCTCTCTCTCTCTAATAGCCATGAGCTACAGTTACAAAACTTTCATGTTTGAGTTTCAGTCATACAATGATCGAACACCCATCCCTCCACAGTGCACATTCTCCACCAATATCCCCAGTATTCCTCACCGTCCCCCATCCCACCCTTCTACTTGCCTCCATGGCAGACAATATTCCCCATACTCTCTCTCTACTTATGGGTATCATGGTTTGCAATATAGATACTGAGAAGTTATCATGTTTGGTCCTTTATCTGCTTTCAGCACACATCTCCTATTCCAAATGATCCCTCTAACCATCACTGACTTAATGATCCCTTCTCTATCCCAGCTGCTTCCTCCCCCAGATCATGAGGCAGGCTTCCAACCATGGAACAATCTTCCTGACCCTTGTCTGTACTGTCCATGGGTGTTAGTTTCATATTATATTTTATATTCCACAAATGATGCACTGGGTCTTGGGCACACATTCTTAAACCCATTCTAAAGCAAACAGCAATTTTTATACAACCTCTCCCTCCAACCCTCCCTCACCAAAAGAAGGAAAAACAAGACCAACTTAGTTTGTCATAGGATTAAATTTATGGTTCCCAAACCATCCTGAACATGTTTCTGTGTGCTCTTGTATAAAGAGAAGTTTATTCAACTGAATAATCTGGCCAACTTTCAAGAAGTAGTAAAAGTGGGGGAGGGCTGGGGAGAGCCAGCATGCTGACTGAACTCTTTAAAGATACTCCTGGGGTTTCCCACTCTGCCTGAGATTCTCAGCATCCTAGTGGCAATGCAACACTACTTCTGCCTATTTGCACTGGGTCTTGCCCATACCACTGGGGCTGACACTTGCTGGGGCAATTCTGTGCAAGCTCAGGCAGGCCAAATTTCCCTGAGTCACTTCCTTCCAACATTTCACTGAATGTGCACAAACCTGGATGGAAAGTTCAGATCAGCAGCATCAGCAGTGATGCTTAGGTTGGAGCCTGCTCCCAGCTCCCCATTGAAAACGCCAGAAAGAAGCTGATTTCCTGCCTTGCCACAAGGGAGGTTAGAAACAGGCCGTCTGTGAGGAAGGCCACTGCATGGAGACGCTTGCACACTGTCTGTCCCAGAGACGCGCCACACAGCACCATGGAGTGTCAGCACCATCCTGCCGGTCCATGGTGGCACTGAGAGACAGCTATTCTCAGCTCTGTCCTGGGCAGGTGCTCTGGTCACAGGCTGTGTATTTCATTCAGAAGTGATCCTTCAGACACACATGAAACATGATGGAGTGCTGTGCTGCCTGGGCCATGGCCCTGGTGAGGGCTTTGTGCTGCAGAGCACAGTAGAGGTCTTGGGGTTTCCGTGGCAACTACTGGACAGGGCTGTAGCTCTCTTCCCCGAGTCAGCTGCCTGCCTCAATCTGGGCTATGAATGGTCTCCATTTATGCAGAGTTACACCCTATCTGTCTCAATCAGCTCATTTAAACAGGATTCCACGTTTCCACAATCATGATGAGTAATCTATTTTCCACACCTTCTAAGCTGGTAGGGAAGTCTCCCTCTTAGAAACAGAATGCTCCCCTCTGAAGCAAGTCATGTCCTGTCTCCTGAGGCTTCCTTATTGGGTTGGGGATGGATGTCTCACTGGCCCGCCTTAGCCATGAAGCCATCAGGGCAGCAAAGTTGCAGAGAGGATACCCGAAGGCTGATGGACACCAGGGAGACCCAGAGCCCTACAGCCTGACAATGAGGAGCACTTGCAAAAGCAGTGCTAGAGCTGGAGTTCAGTGCTAGAGCTGGATCCCTTCACTAGGGGCCTCCAGGTCCTGGGGTATGCGAGGCTGTTAGGCTCAAGCTCCCCCCAACTCAAGAAGAGCTAAAAGTCACATGTGGGGTGGGTGTTTGGGCCACACCCATTAGTACACAACAATCACTACTGGGGGTGTTTAGAGTTCACACGCGGTATCTGGGTTTGATGTGAGCCCACTACACCAGGCAAGCACCGTAAGGCTGTACACCTTGGCTCAGACATTCACAGTTTAAGTGTGTCCTGAAAGGAGACATTCGCTCTCTTCTGGCACTCAGTGAAATGTGGGCCCCTCACTTAGATGAGGGTCTGTGACATATCGGTATAGCTAGCACCAGCTGGGCTTGGGCCTTCTCTCCTTGCCCTTGTCCATATGGAGGTACTCAGCGCCCCAGCTCGCAGCCACGGCAAAGGTTTCAGATAAAACCCATATTGATTTTTTTTTCAAAGCTCGAGGCTGAGCAGCAACACCCCATGTCAACTCCCCCTCCCCCGTTCCGCCCCCCGAAAGATGAACATATTAAATTTGACCCCCGGATGGAGCCGTGGCTAAATCTAATGGCCCGGGCCAGTCGGACAGGAAGCCGAGAACACTGGGACCCGTGACCCCGCAACAGCACCCAGTCTGGCCTGGAGCCTTGCGAAGGGCCGGCTGAGCGGGTCTGCCCTTCAGGGAAGTTGCTGGGTGAATGAACAACTTCCAAAAAGGCGAAGGTTATTTTGGGATTTTTTTTTTAAATCCTTAAGTCTTCGATCCTTCTGCTTCTGAGGGTCGCGTCTGGCTGTAACCTACTCACACCAGTGTGCGTGACTCTGACACTCTGTAGGTGTGGTCACGCGGTACTGCCGGCGCGGGACGGGCGCCGGGAGGGCTGGAGGGGCGCGGGACGGGCGCCGGCGGTCTGCGCGCCGGGACAGGGACGCGGCCCGACGGCGGCCACTTCCGCCCGGTGCGGGAGCGTCCCGGGCTGACGCAATCTGCAGCGAGCACGTTGCTTCGCGTGAGGGTCCCGGCGTTCCCCGGCCTGGCGGGGGGCGGGGAGGGGTGCCCAGGGCCGAGCGCGGGGCCGCCCGCGGGGAGCTCGTGCCCGTCGCGCGCCCGCCCCGTGCCCGCCCCGCGCCCGCCCCGCGTCCCCGCGCTTCTCCGGCCAAGCCGCGGCGGGCGGGCGGCGACCCCCGCCCCGAGCTCCGCTTCCCCCTCGCCGGGTCCTGACCCGCGGCGCTGCAGGGTGCGCGACCCCCAGGCCCTCGTGGCGACGCACCCCCGGGTCGCGCGGCTCGGACCCCGCGCCGGAGCCGAGTCCTTCCCGCCCTTCCGTCCGGCGCCCCCCGGGGTCCCGAGGAGCCGCGCCGGGCTCTCGGGTCTCACCTGTCCGCGGGGCGCTCTGGGGCCGGGCGCCGCGGGCTGCAGCGCGGAGAGACGCGGGCGCCGGTGGCTGCACCTGGCGGCCCGGCCGCGCCTTTTAAGCGGCGCCGACACCCCGCCTCCTCCCCGCGGCGGTCAGAAGGTGCCCAGGGGGAGGCCCTGCGCTGCCCGGCCAAGGCGCTGCGGGCGGGGCGCACGGGCTCGCGGTGCCCCGGTTCCCCGGGATCCCCTTGCCGGCCGGAGAACCCCGATCGTCCTATGCGCGCTGTTCCCCTCCCTGGTCCCCTGAGTCCCGCCGCGCCTAGACGACGTACCCTCAGCCCGGCTGTCCCGGGTCCGAGCCGGAAGGAGCCTAGCGTCCTGGTCCGGGGGGTTGTTGGGCAGTGTCGGGGTGGGACGCTCGTCCAGCTGTGGGCCTCTCTCTGGACCGCGGGGGAGGGAGTGGACTGAGTTTTCTGCTCCAACAGTGAAGACAAAGGTCCGAGAGGCGGGCGCTCCGGACTCGGGAGGGGCTGGAGGGCGCGTGGCGCAGCAGGGGGCCCCCTGGGGTCGCGCGGCTGGGGGCGGGCGCGGCCCCTCGCGTCTCTGCAGTGTCCGTACGCGCCTGCCCAATCCCCGAGTGCCCTCTCCAGCCAGCTAGCCACGGGTGGCGGGGCTTCGGGGGACGCGGGGAGCGGGGCGAACGCCCGGCAACCGCGCCGGGACTGGGACGCGGGCACCCACCGTCAGCGCGCGGCCGAACCGCTGGGGGCCCGGGTACTGCGGCTGCTGGCTCCCCTCGGAGCAGAGGAGGCGCGATTTGGGGCCGGGTGGGCGAGGGTAGTTCAGGTAGGGCAGGACTACCCGACCTGCAACAACTCTGCTCCAGGGGATCAGTGGGCGCCCCCGTTCTCCTGGAAGTGCCGTTTGGGACCCCAGAGCTTTGCTCGCCTTGGGTTGGTAGGGGCGTGGGGGGGGGGCGTGCGTATCTGATGCCTGGCGGTGTGGGAATGCAAAGTGGACTTAGTGGTTTCCGTGGTCTCCAGCCTAGGGAGAACCAGGGCTAGCCGCCTGGGACTTGACTCCGTGGGTCGGGGTGCAGGCGTGCTCCCTCGCACGCTCGGGTGGCCCGTTTTGCGTTGAGCACGGGCGGTGGTTCCGGATGGGCGGGGCGCGCTGGCCCCAAGAGCAACTCTGCGCTCGGGGAGAGCAGGTCTCGGTCCACCCTCATAAGCCACCTCGCAAGTCCAGTGTTCGTCCAGGAAGCTTGCAGATGACAGCCCCAGAGGCTGGGGCCCCGCGGGGGCAGACAGTACCTGAGGAGTCCGCTGAGATTCCTGGGACGGAGGGGTGGGGGTCACCTGCTCCCCAGCTCGGGGTATTTCCCCAGGGGCCGCTTGTTCGAGAAGCCTGTGGCGTTACGGATTTAGGGCCATTGTAGCCAGCGGACAGCATGATGTCTCCCCCCTGACAGCGACTATAGCGTGATTATATGATGGTTCAGGTTCCATCTTTCCCTTCTGTCTCCACGGCCTCATCACTAGCATGTGTGTTGGTGGATTGCACCTCATCGTCGCTTTATATTCCGCGGCGCTTGGCATCGTACTGTTTTTTCTCTGCTCTGGCGTTTTCTGCCTAGTCAGATCCGAGTCCCTCTAGGTCAGGAAACCCCCTATTTCCCCAGTGTAAGGAAGGAAAAAGAGACAGGGAAAGAGGGACAAGGGCTTTACTCGCTTTTGGCTATTTGACGTCAGCTTCGACATATAAATAAACGATTAACATATCATGTATAGTTCAATTTTTAAATAAAGCCCGCAACTATTTTGCAAATAGCACAATAATTTATTGTTTTCTTTTTCGCTCCAAGGCATTGCTTAGTTAACTGTAAATACTGGAAATGAGCTTTAATTTGTGGTCCTCTTTTTCTCTCAACAGATCAGCCTTTAGAGCAAATTCTGCCCATTTCTGCCCTCTCTGCACAGAAATGGGAACTGGGTGTGTGGCAGGAACCGGTGAACCGGCTCTCTGACCTGTTCACATTGATCAGGCCAGGTGACCTGAGTTGCTCATGGGACCTGAATGAAAGCAATGAAGCAGGCTCTTGTCAAGGAACGGCGGGTGAATAACGCGCCCGGTCACTCCGAGTGTCAGATATCCATATGGCAAGTGTGTCCATCCTTAGTAGGAAGCAGGTAAATACCAGCTGCGTATAATTGAGCTGAATGTTTAGGCAGCAATTCACAGAATGGCACCTGTGAGGCAAACAGGCCAGTACTGAAAGTTCCTTGGCATTTCACCATGACAATTGTTCTAGAACTCTACTGAAAAGACATTGGCTTTTCAACACAAGACTTGGGTGAAATAAAAAGTTTTAAATGTATTTTGATGAACAATGGCTTGAGGTCACTCTCTTGCCTTGCTTCCCCCTAGGATAGTCTTGGGTGTGTGCATCACCTCACGGCCTCGAGGTGATGACAGAAATGTCTCTCAGAGGTTTATGAGAAGGAGCCCAAGCAACTTGCTCCTTGCTGCCTGCTCTTAGGGCACAATGCGTGGATGGCGCCTCAAGAGATATTAGTGGCTAAACCCTTTAGCCCTTTCTCGACTTTGCTGTTGGAACAGTCTTCATTACTCACTGGCAAAAGGAAGTGAAACGTTAGCTCTTCTCAAAGCAGTATCGAAAACTGAAGATACAAGGAGCTCTGGCTTCTCTCTAACAAGGACTCAGATATAACACTGAGAATTTAAAGCAGAACTGACTCAAGTGTGACCGCTTAAAAATTTTGTGAGTAAAACTTATTACAAGAGACACTATTATATTATGTTTATCGGTATTATTGCCCTTACCTAAGTAGTGGGAAGATTGTTCATGTCAAATCAGTCAGAAGAGCAAAAGAACTTCTGACTTTGACAGATGTATGCTTCAATTTCAAATGAAAGGCATCTCATAAAATTTCCAAATTTTGAATTATAATCACAGTGGTTATACACACCTGGTATTTATCTGCTTGCTACTAAGGATGGATGCACTAACCACATGGATCTCTGACACTCTAAATCACCAGGTGCAGCTGTGAGGGTCATTTAAAAAATTTTATGAAAGTTATTAATAAAAATGTCATTTTATTTGTTCTGTAATTATTTTAAAGGTAAAATTTTTGGGAGGAGGAAATAAAATTCCTGTTTTGTGTCAGTTGCAAGGTTGAGTTGTAAGATTGGTCCATTTCCTTGGCTTTGTGAATGAGCATGTGATCTTACTTACAAATCATCAGCTTAGCCTTCTGTTCCAGAAGAGCATGAAAACACGACAAAGTTCCAAAAGTATTTGCATCAAAAGCACATGTTGGTTGGAGGTGAACTCAGAGCAAATTACCTTCAGTAATTTGGGGGGATTTTTTAAAACCTCTTTTGAATACAAAAATTAAATTTGGTGACAAAATTTGGAAAGTAAGAGCTTTTGACATTAGCTTTACATTATAATACTGGATTATATGCCTTCTTGAAGAGCTTTTGGAATCCTTACGAGTGTCTTTAATACAACAAATCATAGAAATAGCTTTGACAGTAACTACAAAAAAAAAGATTCCCCAATTACATTGTGTTTGATAAAATACAGCTACTTTTCATGTAGTGATAGTCTAATAAGTCCTGAGATTGAATTTGTTGCTCTTGGAAATCACTGCTCTAATTTGGCCCTAAGGGCCCAAGTAGGTGGATATTTGTTACGTGGAATATCTCTGTGGTTTATGGATTCATATTTGTGGAGTTGTGTGCTAGCTAGTTATCTAAAATTCTCCTTAAACTCTCTCAGAATCATTCTAATTGGAGGTAGGAAGGGGAAGCACATATCAGTGTGTGGTATTTTCCAACTAGATCTTGTCCATAATTTAAAAATTCTCTTGAGGGGAAAATGGTAATTGCAGTACCCAGAGAACACAGTAGATGGTAGTAGGGAGACTTGCCGGGTGTTTGTAAAGGCACAAGCTCAGAAGAGAAGGGTCTAGAAACACGCCAGCTTTTCTCCTAGGGTTTCTGAAGCCTAACCTCAGTGGGCCGGGAATTAGTTTCTTTCTTTTTTGTATTTAAATGAAACGGAACAGAAACTATCAGCATGCAATGCTCTTGCTAAGTAATGTTATTGGGGGTGGATGGGGCATTTCCAAGGGGTTCTTAGGGATCCCAGGGACCACATGGAGATTCTGGGTTGATGTCAGGGCTGGGAATAGGGCACAAGTTACATAGTGTGGGACTGCCTCTTGTCCACGTTTGGGAAAATGTCTCTTGTGTGTGTGTGTGTGTGTGTGTGTGTGTCTGTGAGTTCATATTCACATGTATACTGGAAGTTGGGTGATATAACATGCATATCTTGCTGTAGATATCTGTTACATAAAGTGCTGAAAAGCCACTGTTCTGTTCCACTTCCAGAGCAACAACATATCCCTGTATGTTCATAGGAAATGGAATGTGATGGAAACCACAGATATCCTAGTCCTCGGCCTCGCCCCTGCCCCCGCTGTACCCTACTCAGCTCTGCAATCCATTGACCCCAGACATCCCGAGGTTCTGAAAACTGCATATAGGCTGTCTGAGATTCTGAGCAAACTTGGAAAAGACTGTGCTGTTCAGATATTTGCTTCCCTAGAGATCTTCTTCCTAATCTGCACAAGCTGAGTGAACACCCCTCTCTGATCTAACCATGTAGGTCGGTGGGTGGATGAAAAACATCAATAACATTTGATTAGGCCTCTTCTATCTTAATAAAATTATTTGTCTAGGGGTGGAGCAATAGTACAGCTGGTAGAGCCCCTATCTTGCATGTCATTAGATACTCAGCATCTTTTATGGTCCCCCGAACAATACCCGGCAGAATCTGGCAAACTCCCTGTGGCATACCCAATATGCCAAATACCAGTAACAATGATGGGTCTCATTCTCCTAAAGAGCCTTGAATATAATCTCAGGGCTAGGATGAAGGAGACGTTACTGGGGCCTGCTCGAGGCAATCGACGAACAACACCAGCAGTGATTCCTGAGTACTGAGCCATGAGTATACCGAACACTGGTAAGTGTAGACCCAAAACAAACACAAAATTGTCTAAAAAAAAAGATAATATGTGGAAGA